TCATTCATAGAATCGGGAAGTGCATTAATTCCACGTATTCCGAAAGATTTGGCGGTTTTAATTCATCAGGTTTTAAATTATTTTTTTCACATGATTCAAAATAAAACCGATTCAAATCAGAATATGAATTGTTCTCCGAATCTTAACAAAATAAAAGAAGAAGAAACAAGCTTACAGAGTATACCTGATTCGGTTCCACTGGCAACATCTTCAACAACTGATTTAAGATTTGGATACAATGACGCCGTTAATCCAAAAATATGCCCGAATCAACCCCTTTCACCTGCTAGGTAGGTACATTCGTTGTATACCTTTTAAATATAATCAAACTTTACCACACGAAAGTTGAAGATACGATTTTTCCAATTATTATGTACTTATAGCAGGTACCGTTCATTGGACACCCTCACTTCAAATAACGCACCACAGTCAGAATTACCAGAACCTGGAGCGTTATCGAAAATTACAACCCCTCATAGAAAAGTTCGTGATTCAATTACGCAATCAAGTCCAGTAATGACCAATACAACTTTTCTGTAATGGCAATGTTATTTCTTATTTGTTTCAGAACATAAAGTTAGCTGTGGATTTAAGGGATGATCCCGTGCAGAAAAATTCGTCAGAAAGTAAAGATTATGAAGTAGTTAAAAAATTATTGAGAGATTCAACGGAATTAATTAATAAAGCGTTGGACATAATAGAACAAAAAGATAAACTTCCTGTATCACCAGGAGGTAAAATTAAGAAACCGCCATCTAGAGAAAGAAATGTTACAATTAAGGTAGGCACGAAACTAAATTTACTTTACAAAAAAAATACTTTTCCTGTTTTTTATTCACACCAGCTACACGTTTTCTGTAGGCGGTTATAAATCAACTTTATGTGCCCTGAACTTCTACTTGCGAGGACGGTTCAATAGCTTTACTTTACAAGAAAATTATTTTTTTCAAATTCCAAGATATTTTTTTTGTATTTTTCGGTTCAGGATGCAATATTAGAACATTTAAACAGTAACTATGTTAATATAAATCTATAAAGTGTGTGTGAAGAAATAATTTGTTTCTCTTTTTGACGCAGAAATTCTTTGAAACTACTTTGCATCGTCCATCGTCGGTGCTTCCAAAAGTGAAACAAAGTTACGGATCGAGCCCAGTATTAGCAAAAAAACAAAACAGAAACGACCAAACACCATCTCATGCATCATTGACCGACATTTCGTCAAATAAAGTGAGACTGCCATCCACAAGTTCAATACCTTCTCCTCGTTCACCGTCAAAGAAAACAAATAGCGCTAGCGCTTCAAAAATCCCCGGATCAGCATCAGGAAACAGACCGGTTAGAAAATTCAATTCCTTATATGGCCACGTTAAATCCACAATTCCTAAGCCGAGTTCCATCAAAAAAGATGTTAATAATAAATAAATATACAATGGTGTGTACATTTTTTAGCATGCGTTTCTTTTATTATACTCATACTCTGTGCAGTGTACTTTTTAAAATTTTGTATTTTACTATTAATTGATGTGATATGTATGTAGGCATTAAGTAATTGTGTTTTTTATTAATCTAATGATTTTATTATGTTAATTAATGTTAAATTATGCTGAACATNATTAACTGTAATATTGAAGTTTAACATTTTCTTTTGAAAAAAAAAACTACAATTTAAACAAAAAACGAAAATACATTTTTCAAATCTTGTCTTTAAAAACATTATTAATTAAATATCACTTGATATACAGTCATCTATTTAGTCTTTGTTTTTTGAGGTTTTTATAGGCATTAATCACTTCCTTTTGCTGTTGGTCTAACTGTCTTCTGAGTGCAACTGGTAAATCTTTTCTTTTGCCCTTTTTATTAATTACTTTATTTATCGTTTTCTTCATAGGATTAAATTTACTTTCAATATTTTTACTTGTATTTTCAACTTTATTATTATTTTCTATCATGGATTTTAGTAGCAAATCTTTCTTGCCAGGCTGAAATTTAGATTGGAATTATTTATAAAATGTAAAGACATTTCTACTGTTTTTCTTACCCTTGAGGCACAACCTAAACTTTCAACCTTTCTTGGAAGGGTTAGTGTGGGAGGCTGGTGAACAATTTCTCCAAATTTGATAGTATCTTTTTGATTAAGTCTATCAGAATCAAGTTCTTTGTTATTTTGTTTTTGTTGCTTTTTTTGAAGAAGTTTTTTACGCCGTTTCTGAGATTTAGTTAATCGTGGTTCATTTGTTATTTTTGATTTTTTCTTTCCTTTCCTCACTTCTTTCTTTGCATTTTTTACAAGTTCCTCCAATTCATCTTTTGGTCGTTTAGTCACTTTAATTACCTAGGATAATAATAACTAAATGTCCTAATACATGATTTTAAATGAAAATTATTAATAATTTACCTCTCCAGTTTGTCTACTCCTATGTACCTTTACACTGTATTTATTTTCAAACTCTGTTTCTTGTATAATTGATTCACAAACTTTATTCATTCTGTATATGAAACTGCTATCAGATTCTCCTTTTTCTTGCATAAAAATTGGAGCTGGTTTTTCTTTAGGATCAAAGAAAGTTCTTGGACTATTAAAATTATAAATTACACCATTTGGTAGATTCATAATGGGTTTAAAGTTAGGTTTTGCATCTTTATTATTTTGTTTATCTTTAGATTTTCTCTGAGCTTTCTCTTTGAGTTGCATTAATTCCTGGAGGGATTTGGGTATCTCCTGGTCGTCAGGATTTAAAGGAGGTGCATTAATTTTATCTTTAATGCTGAAAACAACATTTTTTTTGTTATTATAGCTAAAATTTAAACATACAATTATCATACCGAAGCAATCTTTGTTCTCGTTGTTTTTCAGGATCTCTCACTCCTCTATGCTTTCTTCCTGGTATTTTTCTGCCCATTTTTTTAATTTGCAGTTATTGGAAACGTCTTTCTAATTTGAAAAGTATTATATATCTAGCCTATTTCGGAAAACTTGGACACAAGACTTAAGTTTTTGAATTGTGGTTAGAATTTATCATAGAAATCATCTTTTACTTCTTTTTTGTTTAAACTTTGAGTAAAAATACGAATTCAACTCAACTGATCTTAGATGAACGAATTTACTTGGTTGATTTTTAAAATCAATTAGTAAATATGCATACATTTTATCTAGCATTCATATTTGTACATAAGAATGTAAATGCGCAAAATTTTAAGCTCATATGTAATTGAATACAAAACAAGCAAATCATGTGATTGTTCAAATTAGTCCTGCAGATGGTACGATAACCATTATCACAGTCAAAAAAAGAAGTTAAGAAAGAAGAAATAAGCAAAAGTTAGGTTAGGCTTATTTGAAAATATTGGTAATTTAATTAATACATTACAATTTACTGTTTATTGGTGTCTATAAGATGCAAGCGGTAAGGATTTCAGCAAAATCGACTTTTGGGAAATTTCGAAATTTATCAAGATGGTGCGTTTTACCTTTTATGTTAAATTAAGGAATGCGTTAGTTAACCTCTTTTTCTTTCAGTACTTCGTGTTTACAAAACGTGGAGGCCGCAAAACCAACAGAAAGCTTAACGGTACCACCCCCATCGAATGTTGATAAACCTGTATCTCCTAAAATAGAAAAATTAGCCTTTGAAATATCTAGTTTAACTTTAATTGAAGTGTCAGAATTAAGCGGATTTTTGAAAAAGAAATTGAATTTGCCAGATACTCCTGCTTTTCCCGTGGGTGGTTTTATTGCTGCACAAGCTGGAGGTAAATCTGAAGAGGACGAAGAAGCACCTAAAGCAAAGAAGACCTCATTCACTGTCAAACTGACAAAATATGATGAAAAGCAAAAGATACCTCTAATCAAGGAAATTAAAGGGCTTCTTGAGGGTATGAACTTGGTGCAAGCCAAAAAGTTTGTTGAAGGTGTTCCTGCTGTGGTAAAGGCAGATATTTCACAAGATGAAGCAGATAAGTTAAAAGAAGTCCTAACAAAAGTTGGAGGTGTTGTAGAGATAGAATAAGTTTGTTAAGTTTACTTATTTAGTAATAGTTTGTTATTTTGAGTTTTGTGTACATTTTTTTAATGTGTGTAATTGGAGTAAGAGCAGTAAAAAAAATCAACATTTAGGAACTCTTGTTTTTTTCTTTTTTAATATGTAACATTACAATTAATTGATTACAATTAAATAGTGAAAGCAAATTCCTTAGTGGTAGCAAATACCTACAGATGGCGATACACTCTCTTTTGAAGCTAAAATATTGCAATTTCTGAAAGTAAAAATTGCAGGTGTTATAAACTTGCGAATTATTTATAATTCGTTTGCTGGATTTCGATAATTTTGTTTGCAAAAGATGGGGACAAAATGTGTAAAGTCAGTTTATTTGTAACTATACCTCCTTCCCTCCTGTTTGAAGCTAAAACTTTACAATTTCTGAAATAATAAATTACAGGTCTTAAAACATTCATATTATTCATAATTCGCTGATCAGATTTTGGTAATTTTGTTTGTGAAAGATGGGGACAAAATGTTTAAAGTCAGTTTATTTGTAACTATACCCTCAACCCTTACATTTGAAGTTAAACTTTGTAATTTCTGAAAGTAAAAATTAGAGGTGTTACAACTTTAATATTGTTCATAATTCCTTTGCCAGATTTCGATAATTTTGTTTGCAGAAGAACAAAATGTGTAAAGTCAGTTTATTTGTAATTATACTCTCAACCCTTATCTGTTAAGCTAAACTTTGCAATTTCTGAAAGTATAAATTGCAGGCGTTAAAACTTTAATACCATTCATAATTCCTTTCCCAGATTTTGAAAATTTTGTTTGCAGAAGA